ACCGGCAGGAAATTGGGGGACCTCGTAACTTCACCTTCTCCCTCACCTTCCTCGGCAGCGGGCTGGCTTGCAACCCAACGTGCTCTGTCCAGCAGGTCCTGCCAACCAGCAGAGACTGGGGATTTCACAACTGGGTCTCCTCCCTGAGCGTAGAGGTGAACCCAACAGGCACCATGCTGCTGAAAGTGGTGGCGTTATAGGAGGCTCAAAGACAAACTTCCTGTAAGCCTCGAACTCTCTCTAGACTTCTTGTCACAGGAAGACCATCTCATGCCTCCAAGGGGGATGCCTTTGTCCTCCCCTCAGGTATTCACCATTCAAGTGCTTCTACGTGGATCTCAAGTCTTCTACCTAACACACCAAATATCTCTTCCTAATGGAATGATGGGTAACAGGAAAAACTGTTACTGCTTCACTTCTCTTTGCACTTTCTCTAGAATCTCACCTAACTCCCCTTTCCAAGGGGCTACGAGAGCCTCAGCAGGGCAGTAACCCCTTTGTTAATAGCCAGTGCCACTAGTAATGGAAGAGATGCAAAGTATATGTGCAGCATCCTATAGCTCCTCTTGAGCATTTCAAAGACAAGTAAGGAAAAACACCCCTGCTGCCTTGTTCTTGCTTTGCCAAGATGGGAGATAGTTACATTCACTCCAAGAATAAAAAGCCTCTCCTCCTATCCCTCCTGAAGAAACCCAATGTCCTCCTCAGAGCACTGTCACCCCCTTCCCCTTCTGACAACTCAGGGACAGGCCTAGATCACTGCGTTGAGCAATTGCTTTCTTGCCAGCTCTCCGCTTAGTACGCATGTGGCTGAAGTATCGTGCCTTAGAAGCGAGCGTCAAGCATTCCTCCTTCCCCCAGAAGTCTTGTCCTCATGAACGCTTGTGTCACTCCCCTTTGGATAAGAATTCCCCCTCCTACCCTCCATGGTGCCAGGGAGGTTGCTTTCCTTAGGGAACTCCCTTCCAGAAAGGTCTGATGTGCCTTTCTAGGGCTGGCAGTAACCTTTAAGTTAAGTTACAGAGGTTCTTCTGATATAGGAAACAGCTACTTTATCACTTTTGCAAACAGCATGCACAAAGGTGTTCTCTTCTGACGACTGCTCATCAGGATGTCTTGATTTGTCCTCACTTCTGTGGATCTAAAAAGCCTGAATTAAAATGCCTGTAGAAAGGGCTAAGCTTTCTTAGTCGTGCTGTAAGTACAGCCTGCTATTTCAAATTAAATCTCGTTTTAGGAAACAACGCCACCTTATTTACAGTAAAGATGACAACTTTCACTAAGCTTAGTTACTTGGGCAATGCTTGGTAAAGAAAAGGTGCAGTACTGACACGATGCAGCCATGCAGACCAAGCCACAGGCAGAGACCACCAAAGCCACTGCTTCAAGCAACTTCAGCTGCAGGAGCTCCAAAACGCTAGTCACATTAGCTAGCCGTACTGAATAAACAAAAACACAAGTTCATTACTGCTCTGTACCAGATCTCTCAACCCCTAAGAAAACACAAGATGTTTTCCATCCTTTAGCTCTATTCCCACTACAGAAAAGTTATCCTAAGTTCCTTGGGCTCCCAGCACCCAGTAACAGATTTCTTGTTCAACAGCAGCACACTGCTTCCCAAGCTGATTTATTCTGTCATTGTCCAAGGCAGCCTGTCCTCGGAAGTACTACGTTTTGGGTTTTGCTTATCAGACACCATTCATTTGATGGACCTGTGCTGGTTTTCTTCTTTTTAAGAAGAAAAGAGAATTGTGACTGTTGTTGGCACCTAACCTAACCCAGGAGCCAGGCAGCTGAAACCTTTCATGCAGTCACCTTCCAGTAAGATGGCACGCAGCTGAGGGACCAGGTACCTGAAGCTCAGTCACTGAGATATGATGAAGCCCACAGTCACTACAGGTAGGTCCCAGCTGAGCTGCCATAAGTCACCACTGCCTAACGGTACAGATGAACTAAAGCAGGTAGCTCACTTAACGCCCCTTAGGTCACTACAAGTGTTCCCTGTTTATAAAGAGGAGCCTAGAACCAAGTTCAGGGGCTGGGTAGGGGAGGTTCAAATTTCTCTGGTCACACAGAATCACAGAACGGTTGAGGCTGGAAGCGACCTAAGGGACCATTGCCAGGTACCAGTAATCTTACCTGCCTCTCCCTCTCCTCTAGGGCAAGCACTTGGGAGAGGAGGAAGGTCCTCTCAGCCAATTATGCACTAGAACAGGGATTTTATTTGTCAGTCACTAATTTGTCTATGAACAGTTCAAATCCACTATAGAGATTTAAAGTGTTTCTGAAATAGAAACATCATAGAAATACAAGCTGTTTTAAATGAAATAAAAGCTGTACAAATTTAGTGTGTGGGGGAGGGAAGCCTCTTCTGAGGACAGCCTTTTACCACTGAAATTTGTGATGCATCTGGGGAAGAGCTGCAGCACACAGCTCTCACAGAGAAGCTATTGGTACAAAAACCTGTCAGAGCCTCAGATCCTACGTTTATTTTACAGCACCTCTTGGAAACGCAGTAAGGAGATCTTTAGCAGAACATCTCTAAAAACGCTCATAAGCGGTCAAGACCACAAACCATTAATCTATTAAGCAGCTTTGCAAAAAACATCTTCCTCTGGGGTTGATACACTTGTGAGTCCCACCCCCAACAAGAGGAGATATACAAAAAGGAGCAATCGAGTGTTTCCAAATACTTTAATAAGGTCCATAACAATGAGTAAGATGGAGCCTAGAACTGGATCACCTGGCCCTGTAAGAAGGAAGATAGAGTGAGTATATTCACCACTGAATCTCACCCTCTCCCAAACCATGATCACCTCAGAGCAGCAAACGAGCTTTGGCCTGTCAACACTCCTCTACAGCCATTCCTCCAACAACAGGCAGAATGGCAGAGGCTACCGATGCCCCTCAGCTCAACATACAGTCTTTCACCCAGGAGTCTGGGAGTGCTCAACAACTGCCTACACTGGTGACAGCATCTCTCTCCCAACACAGTCGTGTTCATCACCATCAAAATCCCCACCTCTACTGACCACACAAACATACCTTTCTCTTCTTGTCTCCTCCCAGTTCAAAGTGCTTACACCTCTTAATGGCCAGCATCCTCTTGGACCTGCAATTGGGCTCCACGCACTCCAGCCTCAGCACAATCTTCTTTGTGGTCTTAGCCTGGGAGGGGAAGAGCAGAGGCTTATCAATGAGAAGAACGCCCAAGAGCAGGCAAGTTGCCTCTGGCAGGGAAAAGCCTGTTATCTGTATGCTTGAAGATTCAGCGCTTTATCCTTGAAAATTAAAGCAAAAGACACCACCACAGTCAGGCTCACTCATTAAGAACTAGAGGGTACCTTCAAGATCAGCACAAGAGCAAAATGGATCTTTACCTTCTCACAGTGCTTCACGATAAAGAACACCAGTCAAAGCACTTACTGGAGCAGGGCTAGTCTCTTGCAGGCAGCAGTGATATTAAAGGGGAAACCTGCTTCAGGGAGTGCACCAAGGAAGAGGCCTTTCTTTTGCAAAGCGTGGGAGAACAGAACCTAGCGGTGGTTCAAAGAACTTCAGCAGAAAGCCAGCCAGAAGCACCTATGAGCAGCACCACTGACATACTTTCACTTGGAGGGCCAGGGGCACTATGTACTGAATGCAGAGCTGCACCTACTGAAGAATTTCATGAAACTCAGCAGGAGGTATCCAAAGCTGTGAGGCTGTCACAGCAGCTGGGCAGAGCCATAACCAATTAGAAGCCTTAGCTAATCATAGCAGGAAGTATCCAAAGCTGTGAGGCTGTCACAGCAGCTGGGCAGAGCCATAACCAATTAGAAGCCTTAGCTAATCATCCACATAATGTTAACTGTGGAAAGAAAAATACACCTACAGGTAGAGGATGCAGGCAGCCAAGTTAACATACGCTGCTGGCAGATGCGTTTTCTGAAAGGCACTCCTAGTTCCTGGCATAAAGTCTACTGGGAAAACTGCTGCCTAATCTTCTCCTCTTGCTGGAAGGCTCTCTGAAAACCTCCAGTAAAATACTGGGCCTTTGCAACACTGAGCTGAAACAAGTTTCTAAACATTAATTTGTAGTAGGTCAGTCTGTTTTATCAGATCTCACTTCCCCACTGTGTATATCATGGGTTTTGCCCCCACCCTGCCCTGTCTTTAGTGGGGGATGGGAAGAGGGCACAGAGGAGGCACCACCTGAGACAAAAACAGAAAACTTGCTGTAAAACTAAAATTCCAGGTACCCCGTATGCTGAAGAGAAAGGACAACAGCTACTGGGCTTCCCTGTCTCATCTGTAACAGATAACACAGCCGTCTTTCCACTGCTGCTCTGAGCCTCTCAGGAAACACCTAGCACAGCTAACTCCCTCAGGGGTTAGCTCAGTGATACAGGTTCCTGTGAAGGCAGCGCACTGCAGACTAAGGAGGTCACTGTTCAGCAGCACCTGCAAGAATCCTTGTCAGTGTCTAACTATGCAGGGAGCCTCACCACCTTGCTAAGGGTTTCAAGGATAATCTACTGACACTTCCAAACCATAAGGAGAACAAATAACAGACTTTTTTCCCCCTTCACTATGTCCTTCCCCTCTAACACACCATGATGATAGCACTTCTTTTAAAGCAGCATTGCCACAAATCTTATCTCCCCTAAAGCTCTAGGACTCCCTGCAGAGCCTGCTCTGCAAGCACAACCTACATCAATCCACCATAACCAGCTACATGAAATAAAGAAGCAACAAGGAGCAGAGCAGATTTAGCTGGGAAACACTTTCTCACATTGCCCACACTTGCAGGGGTCTGCGCTGGCAGCACAGACCAGATCTGTCCCCCTCCAGCAGGGTGCATGGATAGCCCAGAGGGCTTCAGGTCATCCTCCTGCCACAGGCAGCACTCACCTTCTTGCGGAAGATGGGCTTCGTCTGGCCACCGTAGCCACTTTTTTTCCTGTCATAGCGTCTCTTCCCTACAGCAGAAAACAGCTCGTTTGAGGCAACAACCGACAGCAAAGCGCAACGGTGCTCTCATCAAACCCCTGCAGACCTCGACCCACACGACGACACCCCCCGCTTCTCCCGCGGCCCCACGCTCGGCCCCAAAATCCCCACCTGGGCAGAGGCGGCGCCCACCCGGGCTGCCGGGCCCCTGTACCGGCGGCAGCGCAGCCCCC